TATATATATATATATATAGAGAGAGAGAGAGAGAGAGAGAGTCATTTGAGTGCTTCTAGTGAGTTATGGTCAAGTCCCTCTATTGATTGTGCACAGCTCAGTCTCATAAATATTTTGTTGATATGACTGTCAAGTGAAGAAATGAATTCAGACAGTTGAAAGGTCAAGTCCAAGCAAGAGATCATCAGGGCAAGGCTTGGTTAGCAACAGGATAGGGTTGGTCCTCAGGGCTGTTTGCCTGACTCTACAGCAAGTACATAACCTATATGCCTCCATCTCCTCATGCCTCCGGTCCTAGACTCAGACTGGTGGAATCTTTTCCCCCATAAAGCTCATATTTTGCCCTTTTACAACTTACCTTTTATTTTTATCTTTTTTTTAAAAAAATGAGATAAGATCTGATTTGGAGATCATCTATGGTGAAAACAACTTAAAGGCCAAAAGCTCGATGAAATGGAAAGTGGACAAGCTAGTTCTTCACCCTCATTTTGACCCCTGGACCATGGATAATGACATAGCTTTGATTTTGCTAAAATTCCCAATAAAGTTGGGTGTCGGGAAAGCGCCCGTCTGCCTTTCAGAGATCTCCGGCATAGAGAAATGGAGAAACTGCTGGGTGTCTGGATGGGGTGCCAGTGGTGAGTAGCTACAGCCCAACCGAGCGGGGGTGGCACCATTCACTGCTAGTTTGAATCAGCCACAGATTCTGGAAGCTCTGCCAGGTCTGAAAACCCTGCTTAGTGGATCTAGGACTCAGGGGATTATTTACAGTTCCATCATGGCTCCTTTCCTCTGTCCAGTTGGGAGGGCACACTTCTTGGATTTCTGGAGCCACGTATCCTGTCTATAATGTGGAACATGAGTCCTATCCATGACCCACCTCATGATAAACTAAGCAGAGATGTTAAAATCCCCCCTATTGACATGGAGAAAGTGTGAGGGACAGCGCATGGGCAAAGGTGTGGGCTGGGCTCTCAGGAACCCGTATCAATTTCAGCCACTGCGGCTCTCGTGCATCAATGTCATCAGCTGTGCTTTCCTGTAGCAAAGAGTTCTGTGATTGAAAAGTTCGAGGTCCACAGACCCCCGCTAAGGAAAGAGGGCACGCAGGGCATTGTATATTTTCTTTGTAGAATTCATTTGTAACCCACTCACTTCCCCTTCCTAGCCACCCTACAAAATGAGGAGCTTTTGTCTTTGCTCCTGGTAAATGTGTCTTTGCCCCCAAAATAAAACGAGCAGAAGAAATACAGTCGGGTCATTGCTGCTCTTTCATGTCAGCGTCCAAAGGACTACAAACCATAACAGGGAGGGCCCCCAGTACAGAGCCATTTGAACACTCCTCACCGGGAATTGTGCTCAGCGGTTTGGAATGAGCTTGTGGAGGGAGGGAGCAGGGCACTTCGTAAACATGGAATTCTTCATGATCATTCCACAAATATTCAGTGGACCCCTTCTGTGTTCCAGGCCACTTCCTAGGCACTAGTGAATCCACAATAAAGAGAAAAGTATCCCCATCTTTGGAGAATGAAGGTGTGGTCTTACTTTCCCTCGCAGGCAGTGAACTCCTCCAGGACCCTGGCATGAATCATGCTTGTCATTTTCTCTTGCCCTTGTACCTTAGGCCCTAGCTGAAGCCTGGTCCCCTCTTCCGGTCAGGAAAAGAATGCTCCTGGCTGAGTCTGAGCAGAGACCCAGTCGTCCAACTCTGGATTCCTGAACAGCCCCTTTACCTTCCTTCCTCCAACTCAGTCCTAAAGCAGTTGTTCCCAGGACCATAGGGCAGATTCCTGTCATTGAGGTGTAAAGATGTGATGTGGGTGGGTGCTCCACTTCAACCCCCAAGAACCACTCAAGACCCTTTCCCCGTCTGCTGCTTCTTTGCATCAGATCCCGGGAGACCTGTGGGTCTAGCACTGGAGAAAGTCAATCTGCAGCTCGTCCAATGGGAACACTGTTCCAAGTCTGTCCCCATGCTCACGTACAACATGCTGTGTGCTAAGCATCCGGAAGGTGGAAAGGATGCCTGCCAGGTAATGAAGCTTGTCCTGGGCTTGTGCAGGGACGGGGTGGTGGTGGTGGTGGCATTTCCAGGATAGTTGGCTTTCCTATTTCTCTTTTAGTGTCCCTGGGTAGCACCATTAAGTGTTCAAGTAATCAAAAGTTTGGCAGTTCAAATCCACCCAAAAGCACCCACCCCAGAAAGAACACCCTTTGGGAAACTCTGCAACATAGAGGCTCACCATGCGTCTGAATCCAGTGGGCAAACATTAGTCGGGTTGTGTTGGCTTATCCTTCCCTGGGAAAGGTGTTCTGTCGCCCATGGGAGGCAGTGAACGGTAGTGGCGAAGCGTGCAGGAAGCTGATTTCTCTCGCGGCTTCTTTTTGTCTGACTTGTGACCAGGAAAACTGATATCCCTCCTGTTCCTGTATCTCATGAGAGTTCCTCAACTTTAAGTGAGGAAATTAAAAATCCCTTCTTCGTAGAGTTAATCGGGTATTGGAGGTTCATTGGGAGGATCTTTGCTTGTGGTGTGGGAGTCCTGGCCTTGATTTCCAGCCAATGCACTTCACATGCACCACTAGATTGGTGAAAGCAGTTTGTGATAGCAGCTATCGACAAAACAACAACAAGATTACTGTGAATTGCATTAATGCATGCAAAGCCTAGCATGCAGTGTGCAGCAGAGTAAGGGCAATTAAAAGCACTACACATTAATTGCTTGTTCACCATCCCTTACATGGGGTCAATGAGATTTGACAGCAAGCCAACTGCTTTCACAAATACATGACAGTTTTGCATAGGCTCTGTGAAGCAGGCCTATTTCTTTGAAAATAAATCATTTTATTGAGGGCTCTTCCAGCTCTTATCACAATCCATCCATCCATCCATTGTGTCAAGAAACAGGCCTCTTTCTGATGGTCTGTGTGCAGGTTCCCTATGAGCACAATTGAGTCTTCTGGAATTGCCTTTCTTTGCAATGTTACCCATAGTTTGTTATGATCCACACAGCTGAATGCCTTTGCCTAGTCAGAGAATCGTGTGCATCAAAGGATGTCGATGGGCACCACAATTTGTTCGTGATGACAATGTGGTTCAAAGGATCAAGTTAGCGCATATCCTGGTGATGTTGCCCCTATTCTGGTGTTTGGAACACCAGCACGTCACTGGGTACTTTCAACTCTGGGTGCGTCACTTTTTTTCTTTTTTAGTCATTTGTATAAGTTTTATTTTTTAAATTTTAAACCATTTTTATATTGTACTGCCTTATTTTTATTTATGAGGATGAAATATACATAATACACATGTAATATATTCATATATGATACAGGCATCCACAATAAATACATATATAACATATATATACCTACGCATACAAACATCAAGTATGTGGGGTCATCAAAAGGCCTGTGGAAAAATGGAACTAAGAGATAATGGAACTTTCTCATGAACTCTTGAAGCTCCCTCACAAATGTCTCTTTTAGCAATTAGTTTCTTTGTTTTATATGTGGCTGGTATTTTCCTACTTTGCATGTGTCTTTTCTCATTCTTAATCATATCATTTGAAGAGTAGAAAATTTTAAGTATTATCAAATTCATCAATCTTTTCCTTTATAATTAGTACTTGTCTGTTCTCTATAATAATATTGTTCTCTCCTCATCCCTCAGATATAATCTAATTTACCGTAACAATGGCTCCTAGGTGTTTTTCTTTTGTTTTGTTCAAAAGTATTAGATATCATCTGTCAGCATTTGCCCTATTGATTTTATTTTTCAATATTATTGCAAGTATCTTGTAAAAACTTCATTTAAAAGTTTTAGGAAAATCAAATTATTTTTATATTAATTTTGTACTCAGAAAAGGGAGACTATTCTGTTTTAAACAAAGATAATTGAATACAGGAAGTTGGTAACAGATTATGGAAGACCTAAGGATCCCAGGAAGGTAATGTGTGGAACAACTCAGACATTTCAGAGAAGAAGCTTCTCCCACTTCTCTATCGGAGACCGGGAAAGGCAGCAGGATTACCGGAGCTCTGAGACCTGGGGACTCAGAAGAAGTTGCAGAGAATCAGCAGGCACCTGAGAGGCCACAGAAAGCAGAGAGAGGCTGGGAAGCAGCCCGACTTATTTCCTCTGCCTGTGGATATTCAACCCTCTGTTGGCTTTGGATACGGAGACCCCAGAAGACGAAAGAGCCTGATGTCACTTCGTTTAAAATTAATGTTTGGTAATTAATCTGTACAGCTGAATCCTATTTCTAAAACAATAGTGATTTATGCGTATGCAAAGATGTCGAAAGCTATATTTTGAGATGTTACTAGAGGCTGCCTTTGTTTGTGTGAAATTATATGGGTTGCTTGTTCTTTAAAAAACAAATCCAGGCACATGGCAAAAAAAACCCAAACCCAAACCACCTCGAAATAAGACTGAAGGGTATAGAGTGGAGACAAAATCTCTCTCACACTTGGTCCTCGATTACTCTCCACTGGGAAACTCTTGTTACCTCTGTCAGGAAGAAAATATAGCCTTCCTGAAACATTTGTGTGTGTGTGTGTGTATACACATTTGTATGTACACACAATTATATATACACACAATGATGCATATATATGGATGTGTGTGCATCCGTGTATATATGTATAGATATACATATGTACCTACCACTGCCATCAAGTCCTTCCCAACCCACGGCGACCCTGTAGGTCAGAGCAGAACTGCCTCTGTGGATTCCTAAGACTCTGCCTCTTTCCAAGAGTAGAAAGCCACACCTTTCCCCTTGGGGCAGCTGATGGTTTTGAACTGCTGACAGTGCTGCCAGCAGCCCAGTGTGTCATCTACGACACCCCCAGGGCTCTTGTATTTATAATTGTGTTTATTTATGTAGTCATGTATGAGCTTAGTCATTCTTATAATTGTGGGTATTTACATGTTCTTTTTCTATATCTGAAGTTTTAGGTTTTTTATGATTACACATAACTCTGATAGCATCAAAAAATCAAAAATATTTTTACACATGGAAGTTATTGTATTTCTCAATGTTCGGGAAAATTTTGTAAGCTCAGCTTATTTGGTGCATTTTCACATACTGTTTAGAAAATCAATTGCTTAAAATTTGATATTTTAAATGAAAAAAGGGTTTTGTTTTTGTTAATTGTGTACATATACATACATATGTATATATCAATTTACATGTTTACTGTATTGAACTAATGGTCCATTAGCAAGCATACTGGTTTTTGGTTTTGTGTCTTACTTTTTGTTATTGTGACTACTGGAAACAATGGGCTGATGGGAACAGGATTGGAAACAACAATGTAGGAAGAACTTTTGAAGAATTCAGCAAAACCGCACACGGGCTTAGATACGAATGGATTAGCGAACCATTCCTTGGAATATCAAAACTGAGCCATAAAACTCAATGACGAGGACTCTGACTTGGAGACCAAAGTTTCTGCTTTCTTTGCTAATAGTCAGATTGCTTGGGACATCGCCAGGCAGCGACAGAGCGGAACCAACATTAAAACTGACAGCTCAGCCCCAAGCACCGTCAAGGGTTGTTTTGCCTGTATTTTGCTTTGTCCCAGATGCCTAGGCCTTGATAGCTCCCTGGTGTTCCTTCCATTCTCCAACAACTCTTCTCTCTCAGGGTGACAGCGGTGGGCCTCTAGTTTGCCAGAAACAGAACCGCAGCACGTGGTACCAGTTAGGCATTATCAGCTGGGGCATCGGCTGTGGCCTGAAGAACCACCCTGGAGTGTACACAAAGGTGTCTAATTATCTTGTATGGATTCGAAATGAGGCAAAGCTGGCAGGAAAACCCTACAAGCCCGAGTCTGACTCCGGGAATAGTTTTCTTCTCTTGCCCTGGGCCGTTTTGTTCCTGTATCCTGTGATGTTTCTAGTACCTCAGTTATTAAATGCTGCATTGCCTTAAAACCCCGTGCATCTCAGTTTTCAATGTAAGGTCAAAGGAGGGGTATACATTGCAAGAAGTGATTCTCACACAATTAGTGATCATTGACGTCATCATAAACATATTACCGACTAGTTGTGCTGTCCATGTTGCCTAAAGACGTCATCATGTGTCAGAGTGGAGCCGCGTTCTGCATGGGTTTTTGGTGGTTGGTTATTTGGAAGTAGCTCATCAGATTTTTAATATGAGGTGCCTCCAGTGGACTTGAACCACTAACCTAGCAGCCAAAGTGCATCCTCAAGTTCCACAAAGAATTTCACCATTAACTCTTAGAACTCCCCATAGCGTTTGATTGTCGATGCAGTTGGCACTCCCATGGCTGCCAGAGGTGAGCAAAGATGGTTTCCTGTCTGTCTCGTCTTATGTACAGAAAGTGCTTCTCAGGTGGGGTCTTCATTAGGTCTTTTTCCTTCTACAACACATAGGCTGATGTCTAATTACAGGTTTTACTTTAAAGTAAGTTTCATTTTAAGACAAAAACTCATTGTTCCTTCAAAATAAAAACAAGTTTCACTTTAAAACAAGTGTCTTCTCTATCTTGTCCATGCATAGGTTCATAGCTAATGAGGCTTTTTAAATAAGCATTTTATTTCTTTGATATTCATGACAAGAATCCTGGTCTCAGCTGGCCTGAATTAGGGATCCCAGACAACATCCAGGCCAGTGGGAAACCCATCTAGGATCTGTGTCCCCCACTTGCCCCCTGTCCCCCACACTCCTAGAGCACCTCACTCCGGTCTTCAGCAGTTTCAGAACAAGACGATAGGATTACTACCACCTGAATCTACTATATAACGAGGGAAGAAGCATTTAGATGGGCAAGTAGGAAGAATTCAGTATATAGTTATTCTCTGTCAATTCTACAAAGAATGTTGGCAATAAAAACAAATTGCTTGTTTTAAATAAAAGTTTAATTGGGGTTATAATCACATAAATAGTTGGTACTCGCTGTGATGAGTGCTTTAAAATGTTTGTTTTTTAACTTAGTTTTTATTTCATATTATTTAGCTCTTCATTGTGACTCAAGTAAAGGTTTTCAGAGCACTGAGTTTTCCATTCAATAACCCATATGCATTTGTTTCATGGCATTGATTACAATGCCCACAATGTAACATCACGTATGCTACTTCCTCTGCCCTTTCCGTTCTCCTTCCTTCCTAACCCTTCTCATTTTGTCCTTGGGTAAATGATGGCCTTTTTATCCCAAATTATTTTTCTGAGGTGTGTGTAACCCCTTTCGAATGTTTGGCTGAAAACTGACCTGGGGAGGGAGTTCAGTCCCAGACCTGCACTGGGAGTTGCTTGTTGAGAGCTCAAGAAACCTCGCCCTCATGCCACCACGTCAGTGCAGACTCATGGCAACCCTACAGGGCAGGGAACTGCCTGTCGGGATTCAGAGAATGTAATCTTTTATAGGAGTAGAATGCCTCATCTTTCTCCTGAGGAATGCCTAGTGGTTTTGAACTGATGACCTTGCAGTTAGCAGCCCAATTCGTAACCACTGCAACACCAGGACTTGTTTGAGAGCTCAAGGGAACAAATTGCCTAGTATGCTCCAGGAGGGTTTCACAGACACCATGAAGGTTGCCCAGCTCCCATGTGGACAGATATCAAATTCATGGAAGCAAAGAAATAAGGCTAAGGTGTTCAAAGATCTGAAAATAAGTAAGGTTCATTTGCAGCACAGCAAAATTGTTGGGGAGGAGCAGGAACTTAGACTGCAAGATGGAAGGGGCACAAGGTCATTAGTTACATGTCCTACCAAGGAAGACAACTTAGCTCAATTTGAGTTTCTGGGAAAAGCCACTGAAGGGTTTTGAGAAGAAAATTAACAGAATAATAGTACCTTATGGAGAAGGAATCACACAGTAGGGGGACAGTCTCAGAGAAGAGAATGAGGGAGTAGAGGTTGGAATAGCACTCAGGAGGCGAGCCTTGCCAAGGAGCTGAAGTGAACAGAGACGGGGGAGGAAGATGAGAGGATAGTTTCTATGCCTGCATGTTAGGGTCTGTATGTGTGGGGGGAGTTGAGATATACTCATTTCCGCATCCCTCCCCCGAAAAAAAACATAACATGAATTTATAACAGGAAAGGAAAAAAAGAATTCAAACTTCCAAGGCCCCATTTTTTTCCTTCAAAGTACTTTAAAAAGAATGTATTTTGAGCTACATTTCATATTTTTGGACATACTGTCAGAAGTCAGCCGTTTGTGAAGATCTTGGATGACCGACCTGCCCAGGCTTTGATGCTTTCTCTGTTCTACTTCGGACATCGCCTGCGGTGAGGCCATGTTCATGGTGGTTTTAAAACAGAACGAAAAATGGTACAAAAAGCAGTAGCCGCCACAAGGAAACACAGTCTTATTCTAAGCATTCCAGGTACTGTGTATTTCCTTAGCTGGACCACAGTAGGTAATTTATGTGAGATGGCTAAAAGGCCGGAGATAAAAGGTTTCTTTTCTCTATTTTCATGCACGGAGTTGCTGGATTTTTCGTTTTGTTTTGGATTTTGCCTGATGGGTGTATGTATAAAACAATGTCCAGGACTGAACAGGAATTTTACTTTGCTGAATTGTTCTAAAGAAAAATACATGATGCCATGTGAAAGTGGCAGAGATTGTGTGAGAAAGGGCATCTCCAGGCAAGAGTGGCCAGGGCTAATTTATCTTCCAGGTATCTCTGAGTTATTTCACACAAGGGATGAACTGAGGGAGGCAATAACAGTCCTGGAAACAAAATCAACTCAAAACTCCAAAAGACTGTGATATCTTGCCAGGGTAATGACTTTGGGGTAAAAGTCAGAACAATGTTAGTTTCTAAGAAACAACATCTCCCAAAGTAACTATCTCGTATTTATTATTAGAAACGGCACACTTTGTGTCTTCAGTACACTTCGCTCAGTTGTTTCAGGCATTCTATCATCATTAAAGGAAAGAACACTTAGCCTCCCTTTACATGTGGCCCGTTCAGGAGCACCCATTCGGGAGCTCTCACTTGAAACTGTCAGATTACTCATTCAGTGCACCTGGTTGAACTCAGAGGCTTGAGAAATAAACATTACCGGTGGAGAATTAAACTTTGCATAATAAGGACAGGCATGTGTCTTAGACACTACATTGGGAGTGGGGAAAGGTGTACAAAAATGCCCAGACCTGAGCCTGAGCCCGAGCCACCCTGGACGGGGCACAGAGGTGTGGGACACCGAACCCTGGAGGAAACCTGATTCATTTGAAGACTGCTGAGACAGATTGGGTGTGTGCGTGCAAAGGTAAGCGTGTGAGCCGGGGTCGGGGGAGAGATAGACAGGAAGAGAGAAAGGTACAGAGAGAAAAAGGGAAGCCCAGCACGTGTTCAGAGGACAGATGGCCACGTTGAACCCTGGTAGAATCCCTGCTCCTAAATTTGAGAACTTAGAAAACATGAGTGTGCTGAACATCCTCACCAGTGAAAGGAAGACATAAAAGCACCACATAAATGAATTCCTTGCAACTCTAGATGTTAACAGAATTTGTATTTTGAGAATTTGAAGATCACAGTGTTTAAAAGATCAAGACTTGTTAGGAGATAGAATGTATTTTTTTAAGCTAAGAAAACGGAGTGGGAGAGAAAAGAGAGGAGCGGGTAGAGACAGAAGGAAAGATGGAAGCAAGACTTTTCAAAGTTTGAGTTAGAGGTGCTCCTGGCTTCACCATGTACTAGCTGGGTCGCCCTTGGCAGGTTATGTAGCCTGTCTGAGCTTGGCGTCCTTGTGCATACAGTGGAGCAGATAACCATGTTTGCTTCATAGGACTGCTTTAAGTATGAAGTAAGTGTTACGTATTATTGAATAACTTAGAAAATGTGTGCCATAGAACAGCTTTGTTAACAAAATGAATAACTTCAGAGAATAAAAATCTAGGGACCATCTGAAATAAAAGATGCAGGTGATGAATTAGCAATCATCATCCTATAGCACCAGATCAGCCATAAAAAGGTTATTTTTGAGAGAGTCTAGGCTAAACTATACATCTGGTTAAACCAATACATGAAACCATGATAAATGAAGAAGAAATTGAAGTTGTCAATGACTTCATTCTGCTTGGATCAATCATCAAACACCCACAGAAACAGCAATTAAATCAAATCAAACGACATATTTCATTGGGAAAAGCTGCTGCAAATGATTTCTTTAAAGTTCTGAAAAACAAAGATCTCACTTTGATGACTAAAGTGCCCCTGACCCAATTATGGTCATCTCAATCACATCATATGCGTGTGAGAACTGGACAATGGGGAAAAAAGAAGAAAAAAGAATTGATATTTTCCAGCCTGTGCGATCATGAGTTGTCCATGGGAAAAGGCATCTAAAGGTCAAGCAAAACAAACCGAAGCAATCAAGTAGCAGTGAAGGAGTGTGGACAAAGTGGAGACCCCAAACCCACCTGAAGAGAAGTGGACAGTCCTTCACAGAAGGGCCACACGGAAGGGATGTTAAGTCCATGATGCAGTACAGCACTGATGAAACACATAACCAGCCTCTAGTTCTTTAATATTTCCTCCCCTCACGACTATGGTTCTTGTCTTACTTAGTTAAACATGAGTATGTTCATGTGTATAATTAAGAGTGTGTGATGCATTGAAAGCCAAGATAGATAGCCCTTCAGAAACAGTAACGAGTAATAATTCCCTGGAGATAGGAAAAGGTGGGGAGGGGGAAAGGGGAAACTGATAACAATGATGACAGCATAATCCCATTCGAGGGGAATGAATTACAGAATTGTAGGTGAATGGATATATTAGATGGCATATACATGGATAATAATAATTTATGACATATATAATGTAACAGCAAGGACTCCTGGGTGGTAAGGTGTGAGAGGGAGGGGATAAAGGGAGCTGATACCAAGGAGTTCAAGAAGAATGAAAATGTTTTGAAACTGATGATGGCAACAATTGTATAAACATGCTCAATCTAATTGAAT